TGGAGCGCTGGCCTGTGGTTGCCCACAGCCGCCTCTGCAGCAGTGCTGCACTGGGAGGAAAGGCCTCCCCAAGGCTGCACTGTGCTCCCCGCAGCAGGTGGCCCTGGCTGGGATAGAGCTCTGCTGCGCTGCACTGCCCCAGTCCTGCTGAGTGTCTCTGCACCCTTGTGTTCCAGCTGATGCACAAGCTGAGTGTGGAGGCGCCACCCAAGATTCTGGTGGAGAGATACCTCATCGAGATTGCCAAGAACTACAATGTGCCCTATGAGCCTGACTCTGTGGTGATGGTGAGTGAGGCACCTGCAAGTCTGGAGCTCCCTTCTGTGTTCCAGTGGCTGAAATGTCCTGTTAGTGCTGTGCGGGCTTTCAGAGCACAGGGCTGTGGCATTGCAGCAAACTTGGTGGTAATTGTGCTTTGGTATCTTCTAGACAGCCCTCGCATAGCACGATCTGTGCTCCTTCCCACAGCCCTACAGCATGTGGCTGTAGTTAGTCATGCTATAGTCTGGTTCCCTTTCTGATTCCCATTAATATCACTGTGTAGCTCCTGTCTATTCTGTCCTTGTTATGTTGTCCCATCTTGTCCAGTGACAAATGCTGCATCTAATGCTGTTCAGAGGGCTGTGATCAGAATAGAGATGCGTTGGCGAGCAGAATTCTTCCACCCTCTCCAGGCTGAAGCCCCTGCAGGCGGAGAGGCAGATCTGATTGATGTGGGATTCACAGATGATGTGAAGAAGGGTGGCCATGGAGGGGGAGGAGGTGGTGGATTTACAGCCCCACTGGTTGGTCATGATGGAATAGTACCCATGCCAGTGATGATGCCTATGCCCATGCCAACACCAAATCCACCCTTCTCCTATCCGCCTCCAAAGGGACCGGTAAGTGCCTTTGCTTTGAGAATTCCCTTTTTCTGTGGAAGACTGATTGTGGTGCTTAGCCCTGTGCCTGCTGATTGGGAAGTGTCTGTACCTGATAGCTTGATGTGTCAGAAGGCCATTGTATTGCTGTGAGACTGCATGGGATGGAAATTGTTGGCAGTGCAGCTGAAGCTTCATGTTGCTTCTTGACTGTGGAGGTTCCTATCCCTGTTCTCCAGCCAGCCCTCTTTGCCTTCAGGGAACAGAGGAGTCCAGACTTAACTCCTGAGACAGTCTTCTGACTGTCAGGCTTTTGACCAGGGTTTGGAGCTGCATTTTGAAGTTGGTAGGCTGGTAGTGTGCCAAGATTCAGTCAAGGAAATGAGGTGAGTTTTGTGGGGTGAGAACAGCACAGAAAAATGCGGAAGTGCCCTGCCTTCAGACCTGCAAAGGGAGGGGACAAAGCCGATGGCTCTTGGAGATGATTTGTTGTGAGGGTGGAAGGTGGGAGCTGAAAAGAGCACTGTTCTCTGAATTCAGTCTTTTACAGAATATCCATGTAGACCAGAGAGTGGCAGAACAGTGGGATGGCTTGGAGTCTTAACATGGTCCCAGCAATGCTGCAGTGTTTTTTGTGGAAAATCTGGGCCAAGTATCATCAGCTGGCTGAAGGCCCAGGCATAAATGTGCTGAGGACTTGTGCCAAGTCTAGGTCTCTGAGGCACTGTTGTGTTACAAGTAAGGATAATACAAAGCCTCGAGTGAGCCAGAGACCTCCTTCCTGTTTTGTGATACTGCACTCAGGAGAAATGGCTCAGGTGTGCTTAAGGCAGGGTATTACCCTTTTTGTCCTGGTACTTCTAATGCCTTGAAAGATGAAGTGTTTAGTTGTGCTCCTTCTTTAGAATAACCCACAGTCCTGTTAGGTGGGTCTGGTTGCTCCAGGTGACTACATCTGACAATATTTAAGAATCTTTTCCTGGTAAGTATAAACTGTATCAGGTTGGATACTTGCCTGCATTTATTTTAAGACTACTACTTCTCTGACTCCCATAGCAGCTGTAGGTGTATTGTGTCCCATGGTCGTCATCCCAGGTGAGTAGTCTGGTGCATGACTGTAATCTCTCTGTACAGGAGAACTTCAATGGCCTACCTGTGGGGACCTACCAGCCTTTTAGTAACATCCATCCACCACCAATTCCGGCAAGCCCACCAACATACGACTCTGTAAGTGCCTGAATCACCATTGTAGGCAGCAGCGGGAACCTCAAAGAGAGTGCAGTAGTAGCCAAGGAAAAGGAAAATGTTCATTAAGCACGTTGCTGTCAACCTTTGGGGCTTTTGGGGTGGTGCTTGGCATTGCTTATGGGTGCAGTGAATCACTGAGTGCCTGTGATGGGAGAATGACTTGTGAGAAGTTCCTCATTCAGCTCTGCTTTGGCTGCAAAGGAAAGCCAAGATGTATTTTATTGCTTTCTTAAAATGGTAGTAAGCAGTTAACAAGTAGAGTCCACAAATTCTGTTTTTTTTCAATGTGAAGGGTTTATCACCTTCGGTCTGTTAAATTATGGCTTTTGAACTAATTCATAGTTAGCCCAGATGAAAATTTTGGCTGACTGAGATGATGTCTGTTTAAACACTCTTCCTTTCCCAGACTTTTCTCAGTCCTTGGGGACAACAAAGGAGAGGCTGGAGTCTTCTCTTTCTATGCTTGTCTATGTTTTGTTGCTGCAGTTCATGATCATGCCTCTCATTTTGCTTTCTGTGACATGCTTCTTGTTTTTACAGTATCCTGAGTAGGGATGAGCGTAGCCAAGTACCTGTGTGTGCTAAAACCTTGTAGTAGCTGCACAGCAGCCTTTGAGTCCAGGAGATGCAGACATAGATGCAGCAGTTGTTAGCTGGGTAGAGATAGATGGCATTGACTGCAGCCCACAGGGAATGAGGAGTTACACCAGCACAACTGACCATGCTGTGGGCCTTTGTCCCAACCAGACCAAGACCTGATACGGGATCATTTCGTACCTTGCTACTGGTTACAAGGACCCATCTACTGTTTATGAAAGAAAGGAAGCAGTAGCTGTGATTATGTGGATGAAGAGGGCGGTCTTCTCCCACTTAGGTCCTTGATAAATATTTTAGACCTGCTAGTGGAGATATGCTCTGTTTATCCAGTTCCAGAATATGGCCAGTGAAGCTGCTTTGATTGACAGGGAGGGAGAGTGTTGTGGTTTAACCTCAGTTGGCAACTGAGTTCCACATAGCCACTCGCTCACTCCTCCTCCCCACCCCACACCCCCCCCCAATGGGATGGGGGAGAGAATTGGAAGAGTAGAAGTGAGGAAAAACTCATGGGTTGAGATAAAAACAGTTTAATAATTTAAATAAAATAATAATATAATAATAATACACAAAGCAAGTGATGCACAGTGCAACCGCTCACCACCTGCTGACCAATGCCCAGCCAGTCCCCGAGCAGCGGCCCCCCCCGCCAGCTTCCCCCAGTTTATGTACTGAGCATGACGTCACATGGAATGGAATGTCCCTTTG